TGTGCCTGTTAGCTGCAATGTCTCTACACTCGCATCGTTCGCAAGCCCCGCTGTGGCACACAGATAATTAAAAAGACAGGGGACATGCCACGTACAGGTAAAAAAAAAAGCAATACAGCGCGCGGCTGTAGGCGAAGGGGGGGAGGGTGCGAACCTAGGTGGCTGAGATGCATTGGCATTAAAATAAAAAAAAACAAGAACTCAAACGAGCAAGGAGGCACCAGGTGTCGGTTAGCAGGACTACAGCGGATTAATGTAGGGGGTGCGGTTATTACGCAGGAGAAAAATAAAATAAAAATTTTGATGACTGAAGTTGGAGGTGCGTTTATTATGCGAGTGTATTCATTATAAAAGTAAAGACGTATATGTGAAAATTGTTTTGCTCTTTAGTGTGCCTTTAAACTACATGTGCAAGTCAACATGCCAACAATAATGTCAATCGGCTTCAATTTGCATGCTTATCACCAATAGTGTGTTTCTTAGCACTGTCATTAGAGGCAGAGGCGTTGCCAGTGAATGGCACATTGGGCCCGTGCCCCCCCCCCCCCCCTTTGAAATCTTTTTTTCACCGTGGTATAGAGAGCAGAAAATGGCCACTTTAAGGGGATGCCCTCCCCTAAATAATGTAGGTGCCCCCCCCTCCCCAAAATGTCTGGGTATAGCCCTGATGGGAGGAACCCATAACCTTCGATCCTTATATCCCCTTGAGGCGCAGCGTACACATATGTGGATGCGACTTGTGTTTGCCAGTTCCTCCCACTAGTGGGAAAGAGAAGGCAAGACACAATGCGCATAAGATCAATTGAACCTTCTGCAAAGTCGATGTGTCTTGACTGCTGCGTGCGACTGCAGCCGAATACTTTCGTAAAGGTACTACAGTGTCCGACAGGTTGCTCAATGTGGTGCGTTTCGGGACACATTTTATAGGTATCATTTTTATTTGCTCCTTCTTATTGTGCCAAATCGAACATAAGTGACTGCAGCATAAAGAGACATCTAAATATTTGCTAATTAGTAATAATTATCAAAACTCGCAAAACCAAAAAGTTCTTAGTGGTTTCTTCCTGAAATGTAATAATGAGTGCATTAGAATTATGCCGTACGAAATTCAAACATTTACGAACAGCACATCCTAATTTGCACCGGAAGGGGATATGACCACCTGATATGAGCGCACACTTGCCGCTGCTTAGATCAACTTCACAAAAACCTAATGTCCCAACACTAGGACAATGCTGGATGCAGATGATAAATACGTTTCTTATGCAGTACTCTTATCAAAGAAACAATGATAACTAACGAAAATGCATAAAACCAAGATGGCTTACATTGCTGCTCTACCATACAGGCTCTTAATAGTTAGATGCAGTTATGTGTACTAAATTGCAGCGTTCAAAAAAGCGAGACCTGCATAGAATACAATTATAATGAGGTGAGTTAGTACATGAAAATTCTAGAATGGACCTGCATAGAATAGTAATGCAAGGCCACACTCTCAACACCCAGCACTTGTGGAATCAATGTCGCTCATCCCAGGTTAGTATTCTAGAGGCCACCACTGATTAGTATGAGTATGGAGCACTGTTTATAACAAAGACCATTTAACTGCTAACATAACCAAAAGTATTGAACAGAGAAACTGTTCCAGATTCAATTTTTCAAGGTTAATACTTATTCTAAAATTACTAGTAGGTAGTCCTTAAAGCTTGTCTTCAGGGTAGTGTAGCAGAACTTAGATATAAAGGCAGTGAAGTTGAGATTGCATGTTTCTACAAGTCTAATGCTTGGGAGGCTTGTCAACTTCCAGCTAAGACACCACTGACTTGAGTCATCCTGATGGCCACTTGTTGATAGAGCGTTGAGGCCTGACAGGCCTCAACGCTCCATTTTTTTGTTTTTTCATACAACAGCAATGGTATGGAAAGGAATACCGCATAATAGCCTATTTACTATATGGGCAAACTTATGCTCCAAAACTTGCTTACAAACAGTGACAGCAAAGTTGCATGTCATTATCACACTTATGTGATGTTGAATTCACACAGGACAACGAAAACTGAAGTTAACCAACAAATTTTTTTATCACAGTGTACATTCTACACCTCATTAGCTCAACGTTTCACACTCTTAGCTCACAGAGACAAGCCTCCTGGCATCTCAGTTTAGGCCTTTAACGGGGTTAACTTGAGCTACCTTACTGTGCTAAGTGCTTATTTTAAGGACAATTCTTGAGTGCTCAGACATTCGTCATGCACTTCATTATTCTCAGGTTTCCCTTACGGCAATCGGTAAATTCAAATGTGGGAATGATACATGATTTAAATATACACTAGGCTTTCGATAATACAAACTCAAGGGGACGCCACGGTTTTGTTTGAATTATCAGTCTTAAATATAACGAATGGCAACATACTAATTTGTCGAGCAATGAAACACACAAATGCGTGCAGTATTTTTTTATGTATAACCCGCCCCTGCATATAAGCTGTACCCCAAACTACAAGCCGCAGAAAAATAGAATGCCTTCCTTGCATTGATGTGAAGCATGGCAGTGAAGCCAACTTGCAGACCATACTTGGGGTATGCCTGCATGACTTCAGCTCAGAATTTTTCCTATGTCGAACAGTTTTTACACAATAAAAATAGAGTACGTGCCAACTTAGAAATTAGGGATATTCTTAAAATGAGTAAAGCGAGGTACACATCGTAATAAAGCTTATGTGTTTTTTTATTTATTCTTTCTCGGGGCCACAGCAATGTCACAGACATGCGAATGAAAGCTAGTAATGTTTCCAGATCTCAGCATGATCATACCGCAATAAGTTATAAAACAGCACATGTACATGTGCGTCAGGGACAAAACGTGCTGCTGCGCAAGACAGCCCAAAAAAACCCACGCCCACGCCTTTATTTTAGACATTTTCTGCATGGCAGTATGGTAACTAAAGAACCATTCTGCATGCAATCAAAACCATACCATTTCGCGTTTCGATCCCCCCCCCCCTTTTTTTTAATCAACGCGAGATTGTTAGTACACATATTTTATGGCACGAACAAGCAAAATCTACGAAGTAATCGAATTTATGCGATGGCTCTGTTTGAATTAGGTGGCTTTTTAATAGATTGAAAACTTAACTGGGATAACCAAGAATTGGATATTTGTTTGCATTAACCTAAAGTTGGAACTATCAAAGTCAAAATTAAGATGAATCTATTGTAAATAAATTTAGTCAGTGCACCAAACATGAAGGTTACACAGCAATATCACCACCATGTGAATCAAACGCGTCTAAAGAGAGGCCAAGGCAAGTGATCCAAGACTGCTCTATCTGTGAAATGTTGGAATTTTACGTGAATGCAGAACTGCACTTCAAAGGAAGATAGAATGGCCCCTTAATAATATAAACAAAACTTCGCCAATTAAAAAGACATAGTGCAGCGATGTAAGTGTATTGAACAAAACTCAGGTTATTAGCATCTCATCTAATACCCCTGTCAAATGGCCTGTGTAATGTCATTTGCAGCAAATGACGAACATCAATGCCATTGCGATCTTGCATTCCTGGTCTACATGGCTACGTGAAATGACATTCACAATTGATGTCAATGTTTATCGGCAGGCTGCTATGTTACCAAAAAGTTACAAATGGTGCATTTAATTGACTTAACATTGCATAACTTTGTCCGGCTTGTTGAAAATATACAGCGGCGTGATAAAACAGCATCAGTACAAAAAAAATCCTCATACCAAAGCATGACTAGCTTAATACCGCTCACAACTTGTAGTAGGCAATATTTGGAACCGTGACAGCGTTTATGAATTCGTGACTGCAATAGACTTATGTTCAGTGCAAACGAATTATAATTGCTTTTTGGTTGCTGCGAATGAAGCATTGGAATGACTGAAACACCTCAAGCTTGATATTGAAGAAAGATCACAGACGAAGGATCTGCACCTACACGCCAATTCATTTACTCGGCTGCTCTTTGGGCTTCGCTTTCGTCAGCAAATAACAGAAATGTGGCACTTCCCAAAAATAGAAAATTGGTTTGAATGCACTCTCCCTGAACAGGTGTCCAACATGTGCGTGCATATTATGATACTAGCAAGTCCAACACGGCGAGGCTACACCTAAACAACAGTGAGCGTTTGTAAACATGACCGACAGGAGGCGCCATATGTCAAGTCAGATTCTGGAAAAGAGAATATAGCTGCACAAATTGCTTCCACTATAATGTTGCACGTTAAAAAGTTACTAAAAAATTAACAACAACCTTTAATGAACATCTGAACATAGTTTACATTTGCTTTAGGATGTCAATTTTGTAATCTTTTGCCAAGCACCTGTTGAGAGAACACGTCGTGCTTCCACGAGTTCAGTGAACACATTCAATGAACGAATGTTATTAGGTGTGAATGTAACTTACGATGCCCGTGTAGCAGCAACAAAAATGAAATCAATGCCTAATGTAATTTGCAGCGCATGACATTGCAGCTGCCGTTTGACAAGGGTATAATTTTTAAGTAGAAGATTCCATTTTCAAGGTGTCAGTAGAAATTGAAAAGCTAATGAAAGGTGCTGAAACAAAGAAATCCAAACATATTACAGCTGAAGTTACCCCGCAAGGCATTCTGCTTGTGTGGTTCCTGCTCACCCTACTATGGAATCAAGCAAAATTGCTGTAAGTGGCCAAGGTTATGAATATCATGTGCTACTATTCTCATTTTAACACAGCTGCCAGGGAGTGACACAAGCTGCTGCTTGGTGTGCCCTATCCCATCACAAGTGCGGACAGGATACAATAACAAGGAGGGAGAGGTGTGGCTGTGGAGTAGAAGCCACAAGAAGTGTACAGACTATACGAGGCGCCGAGAGGTCCTCCCCGTGCCCGAGTGTCAGAGCTGAGCCAGTGACACACGCGCCGGCACCGGACTGCACCCTGAAGCGAGCCAGCTGTGAGCTGCCATGTCACGCAACCAGACAGTGCACGGCACTCACCTGGGGCTGGTGTGGACAGTGCTGCAGCACCTAGGGAGTCGCCACTGGCCCCACCCACCTGCGAAGTCGGTGACCGTCGCTGGTCGACGTTGGCATTCTGCATGCACACAAAAACAGCAGTCAGCATGGGCTATTACAACCTACAAATTTTGAGTAGCTGGCTGTAATAATTTACACAACATTTCAGAATACTTGAATCAAAACAATGTTGAACAAAAAGAATGTGATCCCAATGTCATATTTAGGCACCTAGAAAATATTTTTTGTCATCTCTCAGCTATAAAAAAATGTTAGACAGTACACAGATCATCCAACCAGGTCCACAGAGCCATTCATCAGGCTACACAAACTGCAATCATCATTTTTAAAGCATTCAGTATTGTGAATGATCAAAACCATTTCAGTGCATCTTCTAGGGCAGCTAAAATCTCACTTGAAAGCAGCACATCAACTTTCGGAGCATTTAACCGGTTCTACATTTTCACATTTTAATAATTGTGCCTCTAAGCTGCAGCAGCTACACCGCACCAAGCAGAATAAATATAGATTCACACATGCATGCATGTTTATGGCATCCCAGAAACTGGAAATATTCTACTGCTCTTTGTTTTCTCACCGACAGCTGTAACCTTTTTAAGCCTCATGACCACAGGTCCCCTAACATTCCCCCCAATACACTTCATATTTGTAATCAAACGAGTCTTTTCCTGATGCTTCCGATAAAGTAATGCAAAAGCAATGCGTGTATGAAGTTTTTGGCGTAATCTTTTTTTTAATGAAAAACTACTCTGATGGTGTAAGTGCTTTTAGTACAACCTAGACATTCACTATTTGGTGATGTACCTGCTGTCATAGACAACTTGGTACTTTATTTCGACAAGCTCTTTACATCAACTTTTGCTGCAGTCAAGTACCAGGACAGAGACATTAGCATACTGTGCTTTCTCGGCTAATTTTACAGGCAACTGCAGTGGGTGGAATTGCTGATAAGTACAGATGGTCGTATAGTATTAAAATTAAGCACTCTGCACAAGCACTTCTAGAGGTCAATTAGAATAATAATACTAATTTTTGTAATAAAAACAAACTGAAACAAAGTGGTCTCTTGAAGCATAAACACATACTTCTGTATGCAACTGCCGAGATCAAGCTGAATGCTATCACTGAGTCCTCTTTTTGTATCACACATTGGTGGCACTTTGCACTTGGCGATACCAGGGCCTCTGAATGAACCAGGCTGTGATCAAATATGTCCTAATGAACGAAGTCTTCATCACATTAAAAAAATTACTGCAAGTTGTTCAATGTATTCCAACTTAACCGGGGTAGAATCAACAGCATTTATTGAATACTTTTAACACAAAACAAAAACAAATGCACATAAAATTCTTAGAGAACACTCTACTGGCCAGAACTGCTTTCCCGAATAAGTTCAAGGAATTCGGAGGCCCTGTTTCTGGCCTCTGGAATGCATGCAAAGTTCAAAACATGAACAAAAACTACTAACCAATTTGGCCTGCAACTGCTGCATGAATTCTGGGTTTGGTTCACTCATAAATGGAGTTTCATTGAACGGAAGGCAAAATCTGAAAGAAAAAAAAATGGCACTGAGAACAGCTGCCACAGGCACGACATTACAAAACATTCACACAAGGCCATACTCACTCGCCAATCTTCTGAATGTCACCCCCTTTACCAGTATACAAAGTAAGACAGCCTTTCCAAAGAGAAGCATATCTGGAGAAAAACATTTTTATAAACAAATATTTAGGTTCTGAATGTCGAACACCAACACAAGCAGCTTTACAAACATAGTAAAATCACACACCACAGAAGCACATGGCATACTCTCAATGTGAACTAATTTGCAGGAACTACAAATTTTGAACCATTTCATCACTATTTCATATGTATGCCGACAGCTCATGTGTTTAAAAAAACTCACGGGGTGCCTTATGCATTAAGCTAAGATGACTTGAAGACACAAGCAATCCGGCCCACCAATATTGAGCACCATTTTGCAAAGTAGCAAAGTACCCAGTAAAGTAATGTATGCAGCTACAGAGCTGCACACTGTGCTAATGCTACTGCTGATGATGATGAATATGGCTGAGTCCTTTGAACAGCTTTAAACCACTCGCTTGCCACAAAAATTTACATGGTGTGACCACAGGGTGGTTCTACACTTCTGCCAAATCCGTTGCATGACTCCTTCACATCTGCTAGTGACCCCTCAACCAACATGGCACCTGCATTGGGTCTCTTTCTCATCTCAAAACCACAATATGATTATGAGGCAAACAGTAATGAAGGGCTCTGAAAATTTCGGCCATCTGGTCGTCTTTAACATGAACCTACATCGCACATGACAAGGGCTTCTAGCATTTCACCTTCCAAAAATGTTTGACGTGCTGGCATGACTTTGTGGCAAAATGCTAGACTGCAACGCTGAATGCCCGAGTTCAGATCCAGCTAAAATTCTGTTTCTTGCTTATCATTGTATGCGAGATCACGCGAGGCTTTGTACCACATGCTGCATTATACATCCTGGTGAGGTGCTTAAAGGCGTAGCGACACCTCGAAGGTCAGTTGACTCTGCATACGAATCTCCTATATACAAAAACAGCTCTGAGAAAGTGTGAAGCTCAGCAGATGCTAATATTTTATTTCGATATTGGAGTTAATTTTACCATTGTGCACCTACTGAAATTAACACTATCTTAACATTAGGCTACAGTATTAATTCTGACGGCTTCACACATCAATCTTGCTAGTTGTGATGACATCAGGCACCGAAACTTCCAAAATGGCTGGCTGCTTGTGAATCACCAATGAAGCCACGGTGTGGAGTGGCCATGGAAACGTCAAGATATTTTGCATGAGCACATGATGTGACCCTCATACCGTGTTGCGACATTGGGCTACAGTAGCCATTGAAACTACGTTTTAAGCGCATACACAGGGTGAACTTGCCCTTAGCACTACATTTCCTATGCTCTTGGAGCTTGGCCTTTCATTGGATGAAAGAAAACAACTCAAAATTTTTGCTTCAGTACCCTTCTAAAGCTGTCACATTAAAAACAGCAACAACAAAATCCTCCTTAAATCTCGCGAGACTTCAGTAGGTGGAGCTTTTTTTACTTGCCACTCCCGTTCTAAAGTTGTTTAAAGAGCCAGTAAACAGGCTCAGACTTTTTCTACACCCCTCAAACATGCTAGCTAATTGGTAGAATGGACCGCAGTGGTCACATTTTATGAACACTGCAGCGCTGCGCGCCACACGGACCCTCTATTTCGAAAAACAATTCTCACGATTATTTCTTTAGCCTGACCAATCCCTCTCGTACGTGCAATGCTGCAAGCTCACCCATGGGAACTTTACATACCACTGAGCACTTTACATACCACATGCAATTGGTGCTTTGGCCTACGAAATGGCGCCTTGGCCCTGCAGTAAAGTAGTTCCGGCCGCACAGTCCGCGTTTTCATTTTCCTGTGCTACCCTCTGCCGTTTTCTGGAGCCCGAGACTACCAGGAGAAGCGGTGTTGCAAGAATGAAAGCCTTCGAGGTGCCTCCACTAGAGGAAGGGTGCTCTTCAAGCAGCGCTTCCTTCTTGCGCCGCTATGATATATGCTCATGTCGGGAATACTGGGCTCAGTCGTTGGCTGCGTGCCAACGACGCATCAATGACATAATGTCGTCGTGTTGCCGAAGTGGACGAAGGAACGACGACAAGCTATGCCTTGACCCTCCCAATGGCGGGGAAAGGTGGCAAGGCCATGCGCGTAAATTTGAAATCGGCAGAAACGGACATTTTAACACCTGTAACTTCCTTATTAAAGAAATTTTTCACGAAATTCTTGCAGCAGCACGTTCACATAGCAGAAGTGCACGTATTTCTTTTCAGCAGAAGTGCACGTATTTCTTTTCATGACAATTTTTGAACCTCAGGGTTGTTTACTGGCCCTTTAAACAAAGGACATTAAAGAACATTTTAAGGGCCCTGTTGCCACATGATCGAAAAGGTATTAGAATAGAAAAATTACAGTTTAAAAGAAATAGATCAGACAAGAGAGAATCTGCCTTTCTTCTTTATTGCCATTTGTTTCAATTCTTCAAAGTTAGTCAAAATGAAGGATATTATTGCTATTACATTTATACAGCACACGGCAGGTGTGGAAATGGGCACATGGGTTTGACAGCAGTCCTGGGAGCAGACAAAAGTGCAGGCTTGGAACAGCCAGAAAGGCCTTTTTGAGCTAGTTTGGTGCAGTTGTAGATGTAGCCCCTTTACACAGCACTTGTAAAGCAACATTTGTTCAATGCTGCATTTTCCAAACAATTGAGCAATAGCCTCATTTATTGCGATAGCAGTCACCCATGCTCAATTTTTGCCACCGCCGTTGCCATCATGTCCCATATGAAGTCCCTACTGATAACATACTCCTGCACATCAAATGTTCTACCCACGTATGAAAGCGATTGAGCAGGGGCAAAGAAGACAGCTAAAGCAGAGATCACACGAGCCAGCCCTTCTCCGTCACTCGCAGGGTGCATGCGAAAGCATCACCCACTTGGGAGGCCTGCTGTCAAAGCAGAGAGGATTTGATTGATATGTAGGGTTTAACGTCCCAAAACCACCATATTATTATAAGAGACGCCGTAGTGGAGGGCTCCGGAAATTTCGACCACCTGGGGTTCTTTAACGTGCACCCAAATCTGAGCACACGGGCCTACAACATTTCCGCCTCCATCGGAAATGCAGCCGCCGCAGCCGGGATTTGAACCCGCGACCTGCGGGTCAGCAGCCGAGTACCTTAGCCACTTGACCACCGCGGCAGGGTGCAAAGCAGAGAGGAAACACACCAACCATTTGAATGAGATGAAAAGACGCGAGCGGAAGGGAAGGGTGTTGTTCGAGCAGCAACTGTGAACTTTGCTTCTAAGGGCATGGTCGCGATCGCTGGCGGGTGCACTAGCTTGGCAGCCATGAGAGGACATACACGTGGCTACATGCAAGGGTGTAGCCAGAAATTTTTTTCGGGTAGGAGCACCTCCTCGATTTCGGGAGGGGCACCCCCTTGGAATGGTCATTTTTGCTCTCAATGCAATGACGAAAAAACATTTAGGGGGGGCCACGGGCCCAGTGTGCCACCTCCTGGCAACACCCCTGCATGGCTACGTGCCCCGTTCTTATTGTGAAGAGAATGCAAAAACCGCACGACCTGTAGTGGCCGTGCTCTCTTATACCAACGTTTTGTAGAGTTGCACGAGATCAAATCCTAAATTCCTTGCTACCGCATTGATTGCTTCACTCTTGCGATAAAGCTGCGACTTTTTTCAGCTATGTACAGCCCCCCACTTGTTAAACCTGAGTGCGCGAGTGTCAACCACAGCGTCGATAAGCACAGCATAACGTAGCACAGCGGTGAAATGACCAATAATACACGTGCACTCAGTGAGCAGTCTTGTGCACCTATCCTAGCTTGTTCCGGTAATCGGACACCACCCCCGCTTCTTTTGAGCACCTTTTCTGTTCTTTTCTGAATGCTGCCATTGAGTTAGAAAAGAAAAATCACAGTTCCACTGCACCGGCAAAGCAATCAATGCAATATCAACCAACTGTAATGTACGAAGTAAGGCTGGCAGCTAACTTTTTGGGATCTGACATCGCGTAACACTAAAAAATGCAGGTGCAAGAGAATACAGCCGAGCCAAAGAGTGATCAGTCTCTTCGCATTAATAGCGCAGTTTGTACAAGGGTCCAGAAGCCATTCACACTGGTGTCTGCCGAGTTATTGGGCGTGCCAGTGATCACGACTGTCTTCAGAATCGAAGCTCACAGCTGCTGCTCAAGTGATCATAGCCTGGGCAAACAAACTCTAACTTAAAAAAAAAAAAGAAAACACAACACTTTAGCCACATTTTAGGACAGAAGGCTTGATGGCTGTCACACCTTGCGGCGAAATTCAGATCGTGTGGTGCAGTACCGCACTGATAAACAAATTTGGCGTGACAAGAGCGGTTCGGCACAGAATGCCGCATGTAAATCGGTTCGGCACATAATGGTACAGCTTTGCCACCCTTGACACTGTTTTCATAAAAAAAATAAACAAAGGTAGTGACAATGTGACGTATCCACCTTTTATATGATGCCAATTACTTTTGAAACTGCATAAAATTTCCAGAACAGTAATACAAGTTTGACTTAGCCAATTGTGTCAAAACCGAGGATGAAAAGCAAACATCGAAATGCGTTTCAAGCAGCAGCTGAAGAATTTTAAAAACTCTAGGATTGCAGCAATAACCTAGTCATTCATCGTACCATGCTCATGCTCGTATTCCTGCCAAGCAGTTTTACAGTATCAAATAATATGAAGGAACTGTACGTGAAGGCAATGCTTTTGGCATCTAATGGCATGTAAAAAAAATGACCTACAAATGCAATATGTACGTGAAGGCACCGCTTTTGGCATCAAATGGCATGAAAAAAAAATTACCTACAAATGCAATATACCAGTCAGAATTTAAGAAGAGAAGCTTAAATTTGTTGGTACACAACGCCAGTTGAATAACGCACACTAAGATTGGGAAAAATCAAGCAAGACAAAACAAGCCCTAGTGTAATCTTGCTTACTCTGTCTAAGTGTGAGGTATTCCACGTACCAGTCAGAAATAAGGATCAACGTCAAAAGTAAGTACAGCTCCAAACTGTCTTATAGCTTCAGGAGTGCATAGAGAATGGAGACTTGACTTTTCATAACACTCTGATAGATGGTTGAAGGTGAAAAACCTGGAGGCACTGCGCCGACCAAACTAAAAGTTTTAAAAAAACACAAAAGGACATTGTGACGATGCGTATACCGGTGAAAGTGGCGACTTCGAACGGCGCCTCACACCGCACATTTATGACGTGAAAAAAGGAAACGTTAAATCCAGTGCCTTGGCTGAGCATATGTCAGGTGGTCCCACAATCGAATGGGGGAAGGCACGTGTTCTCGCTAGAGAAAAAGGACTGTCACGGCGTTTTGTCTCGAGTCACTCGTGATACAAACCACTCCGCGAACTTAAAACAGGATCGATGGTAATCTGCTGTCAGTATATGCGTGCTGCCTGCGTGATATATTGAAACATACATAAGGCGAAGTGCTTTGCACGTGTTTTCCTTTCACTGTGAACAAGGATTCCATGTGGGAGTTGAAACGTCCTTTTTCTGTGTTTTTTTTTTCTTTTTAAACTTTTAAACTTTTACTTTGGTCGGCGCAGTGCCTCCAGGTTTTTTTACCTTCAACCAGGTATCATCCCGACTAGATGGGCTTCCATCAAACCTTAAACTTCATCACACTCCGATAGAATTCTCATGACAACTGCAGGTTACACAAACAAAACAAAACAAAAACAAGTAAAAGGAATGACATAAGCAAGAAAACCATGCTACTACAGTAGAGTCCACTTATAATGATGCCGCAGTGGGGATCCAGCCAGTTTTGGATTGGGAGCAATTTATGAAGCAGGAAAAAAAGTTTTGGAGCAGATTTGTAGCACAATAAACTGAATTTAGGTGCAGATTTATCGCCAGAAACATTGTGTTTCGGAGCAAGCTTGCAGCAACAAAATGCAGTTTGGGATAACTTGCAGCAGTAACTCTGCAACATTTTAAAGCACATTCTTCCATCATTAATGAACAACATTAACGAACAATGTGTGTTACAGGCTTCACCACAGTGCACAAGATGTGGATTGTGGTAGAGCATTAGTGACAAGGCAAGCATAGCACATAGTTCCTGCGAGTGGCAGATGTTAAAATGTCCTTCCTTGTTTCCTGGTTTTTGTAAAAAGGGTGCAACCGCCCCTTATTCACACCACCACTACTGCTTGAAATTGTGAAAATATCAAAATGGGTTCTGTGAAAGGTTTACTAGAGCCCTGCGACTAATACGAATACACACTGCTTATTGCTCACAAGTTTACAGTTAATTAGGTATAGAAGCAATTTTCTATTGCACTTTAGATTTCACAATGAAGCCCTGCGAGCTGTATCCACATTCGCTTAGTCTTTGAACACGCAGGAACTCTCGCAGCAACAGCACTCCAGATTCTTCACTGCAACAAATTGCAGGCTGGGAACGCTCACAAGCATAGTTTCTACTAAATGCACAGATGGGAATCAGTTGGAAAGTTTTTCAGCCTGAAAGTGACAAAGTGACTTGTATGACTTTTTTTTTTGGCTGTTATATTTACCATTATAAAGAAGAAACGTGTTATTTATGGCTCACTGCAGCAAGCTGCTGTTTCCTTGGCCCAATTTCCGTAGCACTTGGTTTACCATCGCAACATGTCAGTTTCACAATGAAGACTCTTGATGAGCGCTACAATGTAATCTTGTACTTTGAGACCCTTGTCCGTATAAATTATGCTCTATAATAATCTTTTTAGGTCATAACAAAAACATTGATTTAGTGGTTTATTTATTTACATATTGATTGATCAACTGATTGATTGATTGACTGGCTGGCTGATTGATGCATGTGAGCAGCACTGGCACCCCTTCGTGCCCGACGCGCGCTTGCACATATAAGCTTTGCACAAGGATCGGTATGGCGAAGAACCTCGCACAGCGAAATTGAATACTAGATAATATCTCACTATTACATGCCCGACTCTAAATCTGTGAGAAGGCGGCTCATAGTTTTGGTACACAAAACCACAGAATTTCTTATGTGTGAAGACTGCATTTACAGTTCCTAAATAACACCAATGAGTTTCCAAACTAAAGACAAAACGCCGAAATGACAACAGGAAATTACACGTGCATATTTTGGTTATTCCTATTACAATAGAAAAAAATGTGTCGCTGGAAAGGGGGGAGTAGGTTCTATGGCAGTGTGGCAAAGCTGAGTATCTGGTGCCAACGCAAGAAAATATTCTGGGCCAGCAACGCTCCACTGCTGTTTAAACAGGCCAAATATGAACTTTGGTGCAGTTAGTGCTTGATGTACTTGAATGGGCGCAATCAGATGCAGACAGGCATAACGGTAGCAAAATGGCACAAATGGTTCCATTGGATCCCCACTGCATAGTTTATAACAATATAGCTGATAAAACGATGAACAACAATGGCCCCATACACTTTTGTATGCTTTCTATGGTAAAATAAATTCCTTACCACAATGTTACATTGCGACAATATCGGATATAGCGATTGAATCCGGCTACAACGTGTACAGAAAATGGCTCTCCACGTGGACAGCATGCACTACCATTTGCCCCGCTCCCTGTCCACACCCTCAGAAAACAGGTCGACTGCTCTTCTGACGAGGGAATGAGATGAGGAGAAGCTTTCCTTGCAAACATCTAAAGCGATGCCAGGAGAGGCTTGCGAAGCCCCTGTCGACCAAGCGCTGCCGGAATTGTGGTCGGCGCTTAATGCACATGCGTTGCCTCTGAAGCACTTGCTTCATGTAGGATGTTGCAGATACGTCCGAGAGCTTTAACAGTGAGGCAATCGTTGCCTGTATACATGTTGCGGACAACGCTGACAGTGGCGACTTTGATGAAATAGCTGAGCAGCCGACCGAGGTACTCTCATCGCAGGTGGTCCTACGAATGGTACAGTCCCTTGGAATATTGTTTTCGCAAATGACCTCCCGCTCAGCTATGTGGAGAACCTTGATGCTCTTGAGCGAGATATGCGCAAGCCTCGCATGAAGCAATCAAAGCTGATAGACTATTGCTCTTCTACAAACAGGTACACAGTACCTTACTTCCATACAAGTAAAATGTTCTGACATCTCTTTTGTCTTGCTTTTCTCAACCAGCTTATAACAATTATTGCTTAGAACGATGGAGTTTCGTTGGCACTTGGATATCATTGTAAGTGGGCTGCACTGTATAATGTACAGTATATACTGCAATAGTCATGCCCATGTAAAAGCTACACCCAAAACTCTGTTAAAAATTTCCTTGAAAAATGATATTTGAAAACTACCTTGTATTTACCTGCATTTTTTATTTTTGAGATGGTTCACAGTGTTATTGGCTACGTATTGCGAGAATTCCAGTTTTTTTTTTTTTTCCCAGAACAACCGACCGGCTACTTAGAAGTTTAAAATCGATTAAATGTGTGTGCTGCTATTGCACTCCCAAAAAGAGAGACAGACATGCTGTAACAGAATGCTGGAAAAACAGACAGAGGTGTGCTTTCCGAGACGAGAACAGCATGTTCCTGGAATGAAAGATCTCTCTTTGGAGTACATCTTCGCAGTCGCGCAGCGATGGCTATGCTATTTCGACAGTGATGCAAGCCATAAAAACCTCACATTGCACAAAACAAAGGCATTCTAGTTACAGCGCTAAATGCCAGCAATGGATGCATCCGAAAGAATCTTTATGCAACACACAACGTGCCAATGATTACTTCCAAGCAAGTAAACAAAAGTTTTGTTTTTACTTTTTATTTTTACTACTGTTAAATAAAGGGACGTACCACCAGAAATATTTACGAAAATATTTCACGTCTCCTTTTTTTCGTGCAATGGGTGTCTCCACAATTTTTCTCCCTGCCACAATATCACGACTTAGAACCCCCCAACGATCAGGCATTTGTCGGGGGACCTTGCTCAGTTGCTCACCAAAACTCAAGATGGTGGTGGAATAGCCTCTAAAACGAATACACATATGTGCTTCTAATGAGATGCCTTACAGATTATGTACTCATTTACTGTTTTAGCTGAATCGAAAAAAATCCCATAGTAAATATGATGCGTTACGACAAGGGGTGACTTTCTTCAAATGTTTCAACAATCGGTAACAACTCGGAATGCAACTGCAAGGCATAACACTGTAGGGGTACTAAGAAATCTGGAACACATCTAAAGAATCTCAAAGCTTGGGCTCCTAGGAACTGTGGCTGCAGGATTTTGTAGCAGGCAACAGCTCAAAAGAAGAAAAGAAAGATGAAATGGTAGGGGGAAGGAAGGGGGGGTGCTTCCTCATTCATTGGCCCATATTTCAAAGCTCCCAAAAAGGAGAAGGTTGCGCATGTTCAAGATTTTCCAGCAATCGCAAGAAAAAACCTACAGCCATTACACGAGTACATTCAGTTTTTCAACAACTGCATGCGATTCATTTTGGTTGCAGATGCTGCAAACAGGGCTTCCAGATTTGTGTTGGGACATTTTGAAGGTTTGTAGTTTACACCACCTGATGTTTCTTTTGCTACCTACTGTCTTTCTATGTGTGGCCATTTAGCTACTATTTCTTTTTTTTTCTGGTGCCTTATAACCCACAACCAGACAACCTTTAGCTGAACTTTTGCCTTTGAACTCCCTTACACTGTAGTGCCTAGAGGCACTGCGGGTGACATGATAAATACTTGTTCAACTCCTAATGAATTACCATAGAAGTTGTACTGACCCCTTGGTGAGCTTGCAAATGTCCCCCTGCTGAATACATGTGCCCGGTTCATCCCAAACAGAGACATTAATTGAGCCTGTTCGGTCAGCCACCCTGCATGTTCGAACTTCATGGCCTTCTTTGGTCATGTTTGGCCGCCCTAGAAAAATTGAAAATGGTAAGAATTCAGCTCTTTCATTCATTATGCTTATTCTTTATAAGATGTCCAAGAAAAAACATTGTTACTACATGACAACAACATGAAAACATGCAAAGAACAGAACAGTTCAACATTTCAATGTGAGAATACGCAAAACCAATGCAGTTTAAAACTGCAACAGTTAGCAGCTTGACTGCAATATTCATATGCGCCCCAGATGCACTTTTACCTTTGCAGTCACCATGCTCATATAATGTAGGACAAGTGGCACACACCACTAGACTGATAACTGTTATCAGCATAACTGTGCAACATCTGTAGTTGCACAGCTGCATAATAATCTACAAAGAGAAGTGTTTTATAACATTTAAAGGGGTCCTGCAACACTTTTGAGACAGGCTTATTTAGCACCGCAACGCGTGGAGCCATGGTTATTGAGACAAATTCAACAAGAATTATGGAAATTGGTGCCGGGAAAATGGAGTTACGAGTCCTCAAAGTTGAAAACTCGAGCAGACGTCGATGAGAAACCTTAACCTTCTCTTTGGCATTTCACTAGCCTTCTGACATCAAAGACCGCTTCCAATCGTAGTGCCCGTCTCACAAAAACATACCGGAAATGTCACTTCACGGTGGCCTTCCCCCAATACCTCACTACCGCCATTTTTCGACGGCGTCGTAAGCATGGTTACTACAAATCACGTGCATCGGGTAGCAGACGCTACCACGGTAAAACAATGTAACATACACACATACGCTTCGAGTTGGATTACTTCTCTGCTTGGTTGCAAGATGTGTTCTATGGCAACGCCGGCGACCACTGCCTGTTTCATTTTTTGGCTTGCTAAAACCTGGCATGCGTTTCCACCGTTTCCACCTTTAGTTGCTGGCATACCATAGCCCCGTTCGCAAGCTATGTATTGTGCTCTTTATTCTAAAAATACATCATTTAAACACAAGAATGTTTCCTTTTCGAGAAAATGTAAAAAAATTTTTTCCTACTTTCAGCATTCACTCGTATAGCATAGCTACCACCATATGAATATTGCACGCTATTTGTCGTGTCAAGCCAATAAAAATCGAATGGTCGTTGTCACTTCCCATAACTAAAATAGCTGGCCAATGTGTCTCCGTAGTCTAAAATCAAGGTACTTTGTCCCGTGGATTACAATTATAACAGTGTCCATTTCGGCTTTGCCATTTGCGCAACGATATCGGCGTGTGCTAGAAAACCAGAAGAACCCATGCATAATACATGCTCAAATAGTGTCGCAGGGCCCCTTTAAACAAAAAGTCTCCCTAATTAGAATGCACTCACTTGCTTAGCTATGGTGCAGCATCTATCTTTGATAGACCATTCTATCATTTCAGTGGCAAAAGACCAGCACCATAAGCTAACGGCGGCTACAGTGCTATAGTAAACAAAGTTGACTTCAGTCCAATACTTGCACCAAAAGCGTAAGGGTCTACAATGTTGCTTCATGCCCTGAATGGCTCACAAATGCTATGCATCAAAATGCATCCTCCCGAAAATCTAATTTATGCAATCTTATGAAGATTAACTACCGGGAATGTGGCTTTGAGCAATAAAGTTTCAGTTGGCAGAAAGCATTTGTCCCACGTCTTCATCTTCCCAAGCTGCTATTTTGGTACTGTAGTTTTATTACGCAAAGGTAGCTCTCATGCGCACTACTTCTTATGAGGTGTGTGGATACAATTTTTCAGCCAAATACACCTCGTGAAAGTTGCATCACTATACGAGTTCAACATGGTACTTGGATAGTTCAAAGGCAGCTGACTGCATGGAAAAGCCCAAACTATGCCCTCAAACAAGGCATCACCATCAGTTCTATTAATCAAATATTTCGGTGCAATTAACCATACAGTAGGCTACGAGGGTCGAATTTTGGGCCCCTGGTTGTTTATAGCATGAAGCTAAATCTACCATGCGCCAAACATTTTTCATTTCGTTTTCCTCGATACCAGGCATAAAAACAGTGACTTCGTGCTTAGCATCAGTTGAAGGGTTGCGACTTCTATTACGGTGTCACGCGGTGCACTTACGACAGCGATTGAGCACGAGAGGGATCAAATTAATTAGTCGCGAATTGCTCACTTGGGGGAAGAAACCAACTGCGGTCGGAAAATTCGATTCTGCTCGGGCTCGATTACTATCCAAAAGTGCAATGGGTGACAACAGTACATAATACACTACATAAACAGAAATTATTCACCAATAAAGTATGTTACCAGGCGTGGGAAAAAACAGACGTAGGTCATTCACAGCATGTTTAAATTGAGACCTGTTCACATCTAGCCAAATTCAAGCAGCTACGTCAGGCAAGTCCGCTAACTAGTGTGGTGCATCTGTGATACAAGGCTCGTACAGGGTACCGCCATGAAATCGAATTGCCAATGCGTCGACAATCAGTGGAACAAGTCGCCTGCGCCAGCTGGAGTAGCCGAGCTATTGCTAGCAATTATATGGCACGGTGCACCAAGATAAAGTTGGTGCAGCTAGTGCCGACCAACGGTACCCTCGTTTTCAAAAACATAATTGAAAGCTTCTCACCTATTTCCAGAACGATGAATATAATACTGAGATTTTTCATCCCTGGCTTCAAATCTCGTATTGTTGTCGGCTCCATTATTCCCGGCGCGTCAAGAGTCCTGCACGAAAAGTCCCGAGTCTTGAACCATGTTGACCAGTCGCAAAGTTCAAGCAAAACGGAACACACACATGCGGCGAACGACGTCTCGTGCACCAAGCGTAGTGAAGGCAACTCGCTTACCTGCTCGAGAATCACGAGGTTCACGACAGTCTCAAAATAGTTGCACTAACAGCATACGCCTATTGTACATGACCACATGGCTGTAAGCGCGTAGGTTTTATTTCAACCTACGTTCACGTAAGTGTTCAAAGTAAACAGCTTGCACTCCGCACAGCGCCTGCCATGCACAAATCGCCGTCTCTGCGTTTGTGCGCGCCAGTGCGGGCGGCGGCGATAGACGCAGAACACCTATGCGCGAGCTGCACGTATGCGGCTAGAAAGGCTGGTACAACTGGTACAGGTGTTCCCTGGCTGTGTTCTGCTGTGGTGGTTGGTTAGAAGAGGAAGAAGACGCCTAATTTCTGCAGCCTGGTAGGGAGCACGGCGCTTCCGTCACCTTGCTCACTGCCTCTCAGTATGCATGCGTATGCATGAGTAATTTGCATGGAGGCTATAATGAGGTAATTTTTGGTGTGTTGAGGAACCAACCAACCAACCAACGGCGCTGCGCCTATGTTCTGTCCCGGGTGGCACGAGCGTTTTGAGGAGCAAAACCAAAGAACACCTGTGTAAAACGTTGTAGATTAAAATGTAGAACGTTCCCACCCCTACCGCTCCGTTTACCCAAATAGCCGCTTAAAGCCGACTTGACTTGGCTTGAGTGCATGAGTAGGTGGCGGACACCGTGGTGGCGGCAGAAACGCTTGGCTACGCAGACAGTTTAGAAACAGCATCGAGTCCAAATCATCTGAAAAATAAAACGTGTCTGGAAAGCTATGAAATCGGCCAACGCTCGGAGATAGGCTAGCTCGGCTAGTGTGACCTGAGGCTAACGCGGCCATCAGAAGTACAGCGTGGCCGACATGAGTAGAGTGACCTAAAATAGGGTGAGTGTTAAAGCGCCGATCGAATATGTACACGGAGGATTAAGGGCCTTTTGCGATGAACTCCCGCGCCGCGCGCTACCATGCCGGACCCGCTAGAGCTCTGCTGTTAGGATAGAGTTATGCTACCTAAAGGCGCACCCGTGGGCTTTCCCCGCAGTGAAAGCCGCGTTGAAACGGCGGGCATCTGCTACGCGCCCGATATTTCTGCCGCTATTAGCCAGCGCTGCGGTAATATGGGCAATATTTATTATTGCGTCACTCCACACAGATAACACGTTTGGTAACTCAGGAGCGTGATCTTGTACATTTTCTTTCAGCTGTTATGTCATGGCAATGATCCGCACTTACGCGCCCGTTTGCACAACGCATACTGCGCACACCCGTCGTGAACGAAGGTACTTAACTTACTTTCAAGTGGAATGACGAACGTAAACGTGCCGTAGAATAAAATAAGCTGTAGATCACAAAGATAACCAGGAAAGAGTCTATGACGCGGTACGAAGTGGGTTCGGCCCGCAAAAACCATATAACTCGCGTAACTCTCGCGTCATCGTTCACATTGAAAGGTCGATGACATCATTAACTTGACATGTTTTTTATTTTCGTAACGATTAATCGTAATGATGTGGTGTGCAGTGTGCAAAACCACCGTTGAAAAAAATTTTGACGATGCATGGTCTGATTTCTCCTCCCCCCCCCCCCCCCCCCCCAGAATTGAAAACGTGATCAACATGAATCTCAAGATTTAGGACTTACCTATACATTTTCGAGCAATAAATTCGTAGATAAAATATACGAAAATAATTACTCACAAGGTCCCTATGCATTCGCCTGAGATGACTCGACGGTGAAAGCCCGTTTTTCTTTGTCTTCCTTGCCTCCCCCCCCCCCCACCTCCCGAAAGCTTTCTTCACATAACGACGCACAGCCGTCATGAACTGGTGGTCGATTCCCGTGTTTGATGAGGCAGTAAGGTTTTCTCCTTGACAAAAAGTAGGACAAACCAAAGTAAATTATTCGATAACAGTGCACCACCATGTACGCATCAGATCATGTTATGATCGATCGATCACCCGGAAACAAACGTGATAATCAGCTATATGCCTGTGGTACACAAAAGGCTTGAGTTACCTGTCTATTTTTATTTATAAAAGAGATGACAGGCATGCTGCGTCAGTTAGTGAGAAGATTTTGAGCTTTGTCGCAGTACCATGGAGCCTAAGCAAAAAAAAAAAGTCACAGTATCTCCTCAAACATATGCTTGATGACGCGCAGACGAAAGGCAATCAAAGACAGGCACTGTGCCGTCTCATACACAAGCACAGACAAGAGGGCAGAACAGAATAAACGCTCTTAGAAGAGGTGGCGAATAGATATCTTCCACTAGGCGCAGGCACTTCAGAGGAGTATCCCGAAATAGAATGTGACACAGTAAAGGAGCTCGATGACCCCTTCACGGAATCTGAAATTAGGGCCGTCCTTCACAACTTGAATAGCAGGTCAGCCTCAGGTCCGGGTGGAATCTCAAACAGACTGCTTAGGAACCTGGATGACATATCCATTGAGCTGCTTACGAAAGAGACCAACAAGAGAGTTGGCAGAGTGGAAGCTTTTCGGAGGAGTGTAAAGCGACCTCGGTTGTGCTTATTCCTAAACCGGGTAAGCCATTACATATTGACAATCTAAAGCCGATATCACTAACCTCTTGTGTAGGCAAGCTAGCTGAACATGCGATCTTCAATAGGATTTCCGACTGCATAGAGCGCAAGGATCCATTCCCGCACAAAATGATCGGCTTCAGACTGGGACTCTCTACGTGAGATGTTATGATACTCCTCAAGAAGCACATTTTCGATAATGGCACTAGGGATGTAAGGGGTATCTTAGCCCTTGACCTGACCAAAGCCTTTGCACCGTATCTCATCGCTTTCTCCTGCAGGCCACAGCCAACCTACGTCTCGGAGAAAAGTTTCAGGCCTTCGTAAGATCATTAATGATGAATAGAACGGCTACCATTAAGATCGGTCAACATAAATCAGCTAAATTCACCCTTTGGGCCAGATTCATCCCGCAAGCAGTGGTCATCTCACCCTTGTTATTAACATAGTTATGAAAGCCTTGTCAGAGAGACTCAGCTCCTTGCCCAGTGCAGGCCACTAGCTTTACGTGGACGATATTATGATTTGGTGCCCAGTAGGATGACTCGCAGAAGTAGAAAACGCGCTGTAATCAGCCCTCGACGAAACGGAGTCCTACTTAAAAAGCACAGGCATCCAACTGTCCCCAAACAAATCGGAACTATTGCTGTACAGGCCGGCCAGGCAAGGTGTTAGTTCCGCATCTGGAGCAAATTCTCATCGCTCATTTTGCAAAAAATGGACAGCGCATTCCACCAGTCGATTCAATTAGAATTCTGTGATTACTTATCGATGCGAGAGGATGTAATGCCAAAACTCTCACGCACATCACGGCCAAAACTCAAAACATGCCGAGACTCGTCGCTAGAGTATCAGGCTGCAGGAAAGGACTATGTGAAGACAACCTACTCCGGATTCCTCGTGCCTTCTTAATTAGTCACATTAGCTATGTAGCTTCGGCCCTTAATTGGACCAAAACAAAAAAAAAATGAGCGGAATACACTCATGCGGAAGAGCATTAAAAAAGTGCTGGAATTGCCGGTAACCACTTGCTCTGATAAATTAAGCGAACTTGGTATGTGCAACGACATTGATGCAGTGATCAAATCGTAGGTCACTGCGAAGGTGTTCAGGCTTTCGTCGACTATAGGGCTGGAAAACGCATCCTAGACTCGTCTGCGATCCATGGCTCCTACAATGGTTAATGAACGTGAAATCACCTTATCCAGCGAGGTTCGGGAAACCTTTGTACTCAGCCCATTCCCTCGAAATATGCCCCCGCAACACAATTTAGGGAGGCGAAAAGCCTGTGCACGAGCAATATTACAAAAGGTCGGCGAGAGTCCTGAATCAACTGTCTTTGTCGACGCCGCTCAGTATGGCCAGTCTTGCACATTCGCGCTGGCAGTCATTGACGGCAATGGAGAATTACGCTCCCTCACTCTCGGCTAGGTTATCGCGGAGCAGGTCGTCATAGCCCTCGCTATGACCGACCCCTCCCACACCAACATTTTTACAGAGTCACGAGCGGTCATCAAAGCTTTTGAATCAAGTAACCTAGCACGAGAGGCTGCCTCCATTCTAGAAAAAAGAAGAAACCCTGGCACTCACTTCATCTCTTGGTTTCCCGCCCATCGTTCATCGGACGCCAGACGTTCATCGGACCATACCTAACCTCAACGAGCTTGCCCATGACCGTGCGCAAGATCTCGCGCGCCGCGGTGGCATGGGCCTTATGGGGACAGGATGAAATCCAGTTTAACTACCCGCTTCTTACTTTCAACAAAATAACCTCTTACTATCGGCTTAGTAGACAGACCTGTCTATCCTCTTCCTCACCCGAAGTTAGATAAATATCAGTCACAAAATGCTCCAGACAAGCTCATTCCCTTCGCGGGGATTTCTCAGTCGTATCTCAACAAAAAATGATTCAAGTTGTCTAGACTACAACAAAACTTACTGTTCTTTGGCACACATATGCTTTGGCAATGCCCCGCGTTGCCCAGTGGCCCCCTATCCAGTGAAGGGGAAGAAGCCCTCCGCACATCATCGCTCCATACGCAACTTTAGGCTATCCAGAGGGCCGAAGATAGGGCGAAACATGTCAGTGTCCCAGCCCCGACTTGGACGCAGCCAGCGGTCTCCGCAGGTTCCCGATAAGGGTTAACGCGGAAGCTCCTCAGGATCTAATAAAGTTATCTGTCTGTCTGTCTGTCTGTCTGTCTGTCTGTCTGTCTGTCTGTCTGTCTGTCTGTCTGTCTGTCTGTCTGTCTGTCTGTCTGTCGCAAAGACGAAGCAATGAACGCGATAGCAACAAATTGGAAGGTCACGCGCAGCATGGCAAACAGATCTAAACGTGCCCCGCTTTTCTCACACACAAATGACGCACGAAACGTACTCTCAGGTACAGATGAACGCGAATAAGCGTCTCAGTTGTTACTTCGCTGTATCTGAAAAGCGCGCCCTTTTCGCAAACGAAGGCTGTGCAACGATTACAGTGACCTTTGTGCGCCCCATAACTTCAACAGATTCGTTCCAGTGCAAGCCCAACGCCAGCCAAGACGAATAATTTTCCTTCTATTCTTTTTATCCCTCCTTCCCCCAACCCTATAAGGCACTGCGCCGTGTCGCCTGAAGGCTGACAGAAATTAGGTGCCTTTTTCCTCTTCTTTCTAACCACTACCACCACCACCACCACCACCCACCGGGAGATAAGGGCGCGCGAGAGATTGTCCACCCCTCTCCGTGAGTAAAAGTACGCGTGAGAGATGAGAGCCGCCGTGCGCTCATTGAGCCATCTTGCTCATAATGCTGAAAACACAATAGCCCCCCCCCCCGAGATGCCCGCCAGTGGTATTATAAATAGCTTGCGTAAGTGGTAGATATAAATAGCTTGCCATTTGAACGTTGGAGGAGGTGCCCTTCAGCCAGGCGCGTAGCCACAAATTTTTTTTCGGTTGGGGGGGGGGGGGGCACCCCTTTGATTTCGGGAGGGGCACCCCCTTAAAATGGTCATTTTCGCTCTCTCGCACCTGCCTGGTGTGCCACCCTATTGCCACTCCTCTACCCTCAATAGCGCAGTGGTTAACGCCTCGCATTCGCGACGCGGAGGTCCCATGTTCGATTTTTTTCTTTTTTGCGTTTTCAGTTATAGATACGTATACATATACAGTGAGTGACGGCGACGCCCACGCCGATGTCGGCGGCAAATCCAGCTGAGAGTGACTATATAATTGCTATTGCAATAAAAGAAAAAAGGTAGTGTATGCAATATTGAGCTCATCAGGAAAATGCAATAAAATTCAGCCAAGTGCCCTGTTGACGCGCATTCCATTGCTGCGCTTCATGGCTCTCGAACAAATTCTCTCAATCTCTGTCGCACATATTATATATATATATATATATATATATATATATATATATATATATATATATATATATATATATATATATATATATATATATATATATATATATATTGTTGCAAGTTTAGTTTCATAAAGATTTTTTTATTTGAGTCATTTTCTGAACTGGCTCTAATATTACACTTTCACATTTGTGAACTCCCCCGATTTTCGTCCAGGCAGCTATTCAACTTGGACAAGAGTAGGGAGGGCTTTTCATGACTGTCATTGCTTCTGGATATTGGTTGATCATTTTCTATAATATGTTTTTTATGGAAAAACTTGAGGAATAACGTAATTTTACGTGGCAATATTTTTTTATTTAAAATATCGGAATTTAACTCAAGCTTTCCGCTCAGTGAACCTTGTACGCTACCTCAGAAGCAAAAATAAGCCTAAAGTATTGCGGTCACCTTATGTTCCTTTCGTTTCCCTTCCGCCTTCAAGATGTGCTCTGCTCATAATAAAGTGCTAGTAGAGGTTAACAAGTTATCGAATAAAGTGGCGTGCTTATGGCCAGAAAAACACTGGTAACCATGAGCACTGGTGAGCGAAGTCAGTGCGTGAAAGTAAATCAGCTGATTGCGCGTGTAATTTAGCTATTTTTCAGTACTTTCTTACTTGCGCAATGCCATTGCTCAATTAACCATGCGAGTAAGTTTCTTTTCTGTCGTTCCTTATACCTGTTCATTTTCGGCATCAGCTGTGCCATGCTGATGCCGCTTCACACATGAATTTTTGCACTCTATTGTTGCCCCAGGCACCGATGCAGCGCTTAAACATAGGTAAGCCCCTTCCCACATTACATTATTAAAGCTAAGCGGACTTCATGTGCCCAGTGTGCAAACACAGCGCGAAATACTGCAGCGCGTAGCAGACGTCCCTCGCTTTCGGCGCGCTTCCGAGTGGGGACAGCTCACGAATCTGGCGCAGCAGCGGCGCGGTGCGGCAGTCCACCGCAAAAAGCCCACGCGGGAGCTGGCGCTTTAGACACTCTTCTTAATCTAGGTCACTCTAGCATGAGGAGTCAACTGGCACAAAATCAATATCAAATATCCAAATGAACGTTTTTTGTATAACACAAATGTGAATTTCTTGTACATTAAAAAAAATTGCAAAAATTGACATAATTTAGGTTATTTGCAATTTTGTTATTTACGTAGTTTTTAAAAAAACCACTAAGCGGCCAACGCTATTTGTTGAAGTCACGTGACAGGCACGACCAATCGCACAACGTCATGTGCTTTTGTTGTCTTGCGATCGCAGAGCACTTGGCTAATGAATGTAACGATGTGTCTTGAGTCCGGTATAGGATAAATTGTCATTCAGAGTCGCCGCTAGCCAGCTTGTTATTTCGGTGAGTATTTCAGAGTTCGTTCTTGAGAGTTTCTGTTGCTTTCGTTCCTCGGGGAATAATGGTCACCCGGCAAATTGCAAAGCGGGATCGAGGCGGCGCTCGAGGAAATGTGAAGTTTCCCCGTGTCGTGAAAGTAGAAGAAAAAAATGCAGAAACAATAACGCTACTTGATACCGCGGTGACTGTATGTGGTTGGCGCGCAGGATAAATTAGAAATAATCAAACAAGCTAAGCTAAACCGCTTTGTTCGGCATCGCATACGTAGTTAAATTGCGCGCGCTTGGACTTACTTTTTCTTATTTTTGTAGCACATTACGCGTCCACCGTAGCTTTCACTTTTCAAGCGAAAGTAAACCTGCCACGCGGTGTTTTAATTCAAACGACCAGCATAAATTAAGACGTCGGTTTTCGTCTCAACTTGTGACCGTTGGCAGTCGTGACCGTCGGCGCATTTGTGAACTTTCACGATTATGATTCAACGTGGGGGGCCCCAACCTAAACTGATTTAAGTAGCCGTTCGTGTATGTTCGTGTGTCATCGTTGCTACTGCAGCAGCGTTTTTTTTCTGCCTTTGGTTGAGCTGTAGGTGACAGTGCTGTTAATCGATCCTTTTGAGAGCGTTTACCGGCACTGTCGGGAATCGCTCTGACGTGCGAAAGTGTGTTCCGCTCGGTGTTCATATTGAATGGCGCTTGTGCAACCGGCTCGCCGGTGCGCGCGGGCCTCGTTTGCGTGTTGCGTCTCGTCCACGCGGCTTTGTGGGTTTACGCATGGCGGCAGTCGCCGACCGGTTTTTCGGAAGCGCTTGAAAATAAACGCATCGCGTTAAGTAAAAAGTAAACGCACTAGTCAGCTGGCAGAGGGGTGACTCTAACGTCGAAGTAGTGCTGTCAGGGGTAAGAGGAGTTGAGTGCTTTTTTTTTTTTTGCTTGTAATTGTGCCGGCACAGACCTATGTAGAGGGTTGCACATGGGCATGGGTATCTTTTCTAGTAGTGTGCCACCGGGTAGGTTCGGCCCTAAAAAAACTCTCGTCGCTCGCGCATATATGTATTTTTTTTGTTTCATCCGTATTCTGTCTTATTTTTTTTAGGCTACCATTGCAATTCTGGGCATCTCTGCCCCCCTGCAGTCGTCGCGTAATCTAATTATAGTAAACCTTGGCGCTGCGAAATGTTGCGATAGTGGCAAAGCGCTTTTCGTGCGATTTTTTTTTTCTTGTTTCGTCTGCTTTTTTTTATATACTAGCTTTCGAGGAAAAGATAAGTCGAGACGGGCCACGACTCCCGGAACATGCTGTTCATGCGTAGATGCTGCGTCTGCTGTCGAATGGAAGTGTGACGCGCTGCTGGCTGCAATGCAATTTGGTTTTGCCTTATAGACCCTGGATGTGTTCGCTTTGTTTTGCTGTGTAGCGACATCTCGCTTCTCCGCCACGCCTCCTAATCCTTGCCATCAGCGTCATCCACCATGATCTATTTTCCTAGCCATGCTTTTAAATTCGAGTCGTTAACGGTTGTTTCTACGTCACGACAGGTGACGCGGAGCGTATCAAAGGTTTTCAAGACAGGCCAAAAGAAATGCTCAGCATTGGGCTGAGCATTTTTAGAGTTACTGTCTAGAGTTACTGTCTAGGCGAAGGTAAGGGGCTTTAGGCGAAGGTTCATCGCACTCCCTCTTTCTATATTAACTCAAAGGAAGGGGCGGGCTTTACTTCCCCCTTTTAGGTGGCTTAGGGGGCGCCCCCCTCCTCCTGTGAGCATGACTATGCGTGTCATTGCAAAGTTCCTCGCTACTTAGTTTAAGGGGAAAAAAGCTGATGGCATAAACCAGGTACGTCTTGCTTTGTTATGTGTAGGGAGAGAACAAATTGAGAAGCATTCCCTTTTTAATTAATTTAGACCTGTTGAAGTTATTTAAAGTTTATGATGACATCGGACATGAAACAGCGTCCGTAGTTTCGCAGTAGTTGCTGTGTTGGAAGCACAAGCAGCTCATGGGCCGCCACGAAAACAGATAAAGATGTGGTTGAGTGGAGTGGAAGTGTAAAAAGAAAAAAAAAAGCCGGGAAAGGGGTGAGGGCAAACAAAGTACTCTTTTTTGCTGGCTAGTTGGTTTACATGAACTTTTTATGTGTACAGATAGAATCACACTTGTCTAGGGCAGCGGAGCGCGTGGCTGTCGACATTGTCCTGGCCGCAGCTTCTACCTCACGTTAGCTACAAGCGTCCCTTCATGATTAAATAATAACGCAAGGGCCTAGAACGCAGTATAACCTTGTTTCATATCATTACGGTGTCGGTATTTTTGCGTATTTATACAGAAAATGGTAGCTGAAGCCATAGGCGTATCAGCCAAGGGGGCAAAATAAGCGCTAGACCCCCCCCCCCCCCCACCACCACCAAGATGAGCTGGGCGGGCTGAGCCCCCCCCCCCTCACTTCCGACAGTGGCCAATGTTGGCTGCACGATGGGGAAACTAACAACTAAGGCGATGTTTTCTTTGACCACAGTAATCATTCAGTCATAATGCTCAGAGGGGATCAATATATTATGAGAAAATGTTACATATAATGAAATATTTCCAACAATTCTGCTGTTAAGATTTTTCTAGTAGACTCTTCGCAGTGCGGACCGCTGTACAACGCTTTTGCGCCTTGTGCTGGAGCATTGCATAGCAGGCCAGCCCTGAACAGGGCCCTATAAGATTACGTCACTGGCTCATGCTTTTATTCTGCTGTGCATGGCTGGCTGATGCAGCTACAGATGGGAACGAACAAAGTTTTTATGCACTAATAAAAGCACTTGCTGCTTCACGAAAATAATTTTCTTCCGTGGAAAAGGAATAGCATCACCGCTGCTCTGTCGAAGCTTGTGTAAGCCTATGAGTCTGATGAATTATTTTCAATGTTTGGTTTTGCCGTACTTAAACAGGAATAAAAAAAAAAAGTTTGCGCTTCAGTCTCCGATCAACCAAATCTGTGATAAGTTTTGCTTATGATATGCTTATTCCTCTCTCTTTCTTGGCAAGGATCAACTAATTGTATTTATGCAGAGTTGTGAGGTGATGCATACAAAATCGTCGCCATATCCACAAAGTGAGGTGATGTAAGAGGCGCTTTCTCGGAGATGATCGCGCAACCCATGAATCTTCCGTGTACATCTCCCACCATCATATATAGACGTGACAACGTTATATAGTATATATACTAGCACTGTCTGTTTGCATGCTTCTGCGCATACCCCATACTTTGTAGTAGAAAAATGTCTTACTCGCAATGTTTTCATGCAGTCGTAATCATATCGCACAAGTACCTATGTTTATTCATAGTGACACGATATGTGCCATATCCATGACCATAATAGTTAAGCACGTGTTGGGGGACCCCACCGTACTCATCTATTTAAAAAGTGTTTTTGCGTGTACCCTGTATTCCTTGACGAAGGCAGGCTCTTCTACGGAAACATTAGAAGAAATAAACATTTTTGCTGCACGTTCGTCCGTCGTTTATCCCCGCAAATTATATATATATTCAGAAACGAATTAGGTAAGCTCCCCCCCCCCCCCCCACTCGTCAAGGAGTTGTTACGCCACTGGCTGGAGCGGCCGGCTGGGTGCTTTAGACAAGTGTGATTCTATATATACTGCGCGATCCACTGACCCTTAAAAAATTTAAAGAAAAGCGAGAAAAACAGAGAGGCGATAGGCAAATGCGGTGCTCTTTCCTATCGTCTCCTTCATTTGTCTGCATATTTTTAAAGATGACTGCGTCGTGCAGCGCGTGTACAAAGTTCTTAGTGATGATGTATTTTAGTTAAGAATTGACCAGATGGGGAAAAGTGAGATGAGCCGCACTGACCGTGCTGTGAAATCGTAGTGGCCCGTATTTGCAATTTTTGTCATTTATATCTACCGTCCGCTATCGCAGGAATTGATCGGTGAACTAGCCGGTCCATTCCCGTCTTTTAGCGCTGGTTTCCGTGGTCTCTGCTATCGCTGTGGTTTTTGTTGTTCTTTTCTTATTGCTCTCTGAACGCTGTCGTGAGTGACATGTTTCTTAAAGGCCGCTCGATAAAGAAGGTTATTTGACATTAGTAAACGTTTTGCGAGTGCTGGTGCGGGTTATAAATATGGGCTAATTTACGCCTTAACCAGTTTGGTGTGTGCATGATTGTGCCATTTGTCACAATTCCAGGACTATTTTTTTTTAAATTCATGGTTAACTTTTGTTTTACTTCTGCGCACAGCGCAGCTCTATTTACCTAATTGTTTATCTATTTCCAGTTTTCTGTTGGCCCTTGTTGATCAGTGTTTTCTCCTCATCTCGGTGAGTCATTTCTTTTCTGAATATTCGTGCGGTTTCTGTGTACACCCCGGAGATTGAAATCTGGAGCAACCACGTCTTTCTCTGGAAACTCGCGTATTTTATTTAGGCCTTATATTTTCGGGGTGAATATATCGAAAAATTGAAGAGGTAGAAAAAAAGAAAAAAGCGAAACTTCATAATCTGAGCAGTCAATAATAAATCAATATTCGAACATTATTCGTGCCCTTAAAAACAGTCGTGATGACTTTGTATTGACACACTGCTTATGCGTTACGAAGAGCATATCGTAAAGAAAGGGGTGGGGGGAGGGGGGCAATATATTTACAATTCTTTTAAGGACTATTCACGTAATGCTCTTTTTTCCTGTGTGAGTAAAACGTGAAACACTTGTGAAGAATTAACAATATGATATAGATTTGTATATTTAATAGATTGAAGTAGAGAAAAGCACTAAGACCGTAATTACGGATTGATGAAATAGAATAAGAAAGCGTAGGCTTAGATACAATTTTGGGTGGAACCGGGTATTTTTTACTGGGCAAGCAGCAACAGTGATAATGACAAATTACTGAAAGTGTCTATGAACAGCCCTTAGGTCGGAGTGCTCGCGCGCACATACAATAAAAAAGCGTGAAAGACGAAATATTGAACGATATACATCATCGGTATACATCATACTTTTCCGTATTAGAAAATAATGTAGCGTGTCCCTCCTATGATGTGCAGCACACACACACACACACACACACACACACACACACACACACACAACCACACACACACACACACACACACACAACACACACACACAACCACACACACACACACACACACACACCACACACACACACACACACACACACACACACACCACACACACACACACACACACACACCACACACCACACACACACACCACACACACCACACACACACACACCACACACACACACACACACACACACACACACACACACACACACACACACACACACACACACACACACACACACACACACACACACACACACACCACACACACACACACACACACACACACACACACACACACACACACCACACACACACACACACACCACACACACACACACACAACCGTTACCTTAAATGGACACTAAAGTCAAATAACAATTTATGTCAGAGTGAAAGCTCATGTATGACAACGTCTAAAATGACAATATTATGGACAGGAGGGCCCTACTTACCGAGAGATTAAAGTAAATGCACGAGAACACATGCGCTACTATAAGAAATTCGCAAAATGATCCATATTACGTCAGACGTACTGCCTACTATTAATCACTAGTAATCGAACTAGCTACACCAAATATAGAACCTTCCGTGTATCAGGAGACGTAATAAAATGCTGCTTGTTCGTTTCTGTTTGGTTCGTGGAAAAAAAGAACCGCCGAACTTTGCTATGGGGAATGGCGCGAGGGGTTCAAAAGTTCAATTTTTGCCTGGTTAAATTGGACATGTCGTGGCATCTAGTGGGGCCTAGTTAAACCAAACACGTCTGTTCATGGCCTCCGAGATTGCAGGCGCGCGGCGTGGTCCGTGCGCCCACAATCTCGGAGGCCATGGTCTGCCATCTCGGAGCTAATGGCAGGTAATTGTTCAATGGCCGTTGTGTCTGCTGTGGCTCCCGCTTCTTTCGTTCTGTTGCTAATAGTGTCGGCGGCCGCGCAGTAGAGCTGGGCAACGTGCGAGACAACAGTGACGCGACAGGTCCGCATCGGGCAATTTGAACCCGATGCGGACCACTAAAACGTGATTTTATTTCAAAATAAGTGCTTATTTGGCACAGAAGTAACACTAAGATGGTTTTGAACCGCTATTTCAACAATCAGCGTCTACTTAAAAAGGTGCCTTTCGTGTCCCGTTAAGCCGAAGCAAACCTACCGTACACATTAGGCAGATTTAGAATAGTGCCCACAAAAGCAGTGTTCATGGCTTACTCGGGAGCGATTCTCGATGTGTCTACCTTGTTAGCCACCCTAACTTTGGCCTCCCCTGATTGGCTGAAGCTCTGTAACCAGCTTTTATGCCCTCTCACTGTTTCCGGTCTTCGGCAACGTCATTTTACCTGACGATACTTATAGTGCTAGTAAAGAACGACGACACAGAGAAAAGAAGGACGCGAAGTGTCGTCGTTTTGTTCTCGCGCTGTAACTATCGTCATGCCATACCAACTAGCCCAAGCTGCCACACTTCTAAGTCATTTTACCGTCATGAAGCTTTCAGAACTCTCAGCACAAATGGGAAAGACTGAATGCGCTTGACCGCAACGAATGCGGCCTTCCGAGAAATTCGCTTTTTTTGGCGCACATCTCGCAGGCCGTGCATGGACTATTATCACGTCAGCCCTTCGAACCAGGTATAACGCGGGCGCATCTGAACCAGGTATAACCTGACGCATCTGGAAGGTCAGTTTGCGCAGTCCCTGCACATTTTGAAGCGTCTGAACACGTTCGTGCTTGAGCTCAGGTTTGTCAAGTTTGTTGGTGGTAGTGGTTGTGAGGAAAAGAAAAATGCACGTAATTTCTGTCTGCCTATAGGCGACACGGCGCAGTGCCTGAAGTTTGTTGAAAAGTCCTGTTGCAGTACATTTCGTCCACGTTCTCTCTCGCTTCGCTCGGGGTGAGGTAACGGGTTCGGTGCGTGCACGTGGTCAAGAGTGCCATGACGTCACGGCTCGCCGCTTTTTCGAGTAACTGAATGCGCGCTCCGCCGAAGCGAACCAAATGGGCACACGAATAGCCTCCCCACCCCCGCCCTCGATTTTAACGTACACATTCGGAGTGACAAGCTTTGCGCGCATTCCGGATCCACCCGTCGCCGGCTGCGCGGCTTCTTCGGCCGTCGCGACTTTTTGGGTAAACTGGTTCATTGTGTATAGCAAGGGAAGCACTCTGGAACCAACTCACTCGCTCTCTGTATTTCCTCTCTATCTATTTACCTTTTAATCATATCCTTTTATTCCCTTCTCTACCCACATCCCTCGTGGGCTACTGTTGAGGTGTCCTTCCCCTGTGAGACAGTTACGGGACAGACTTTTCTCTTTTCATTTAAAATCGCTCAAACACACATGGAACCAACTATCGCCGCCGGCGTTCTGATTTCTGTTTTGCAGCATGACGAGCTCAAGAAGAATCAGCTTCGGAACTGTGGAAAGATTTGCACAACTTAGTGCAAATTTCGCGCATTTTTTTTTGTCAAAATTATTTTTTTCCAAGCGTCTTCTCGTGGTTAGAGTAGTGCTTTTGGTATTGTTAAATTTCAGATGACTAATGTGAGAAACGTTGTTTTCTTCCAGGTTTCCCATTTAATTATACCGGTTTCAGTGCCAAGTTAGTTGAACTAATTCGCGTATCTAACAACATTCAACCATATGTGGTTACCTGCTGGGCAGGGGAAATTAATTCGTCGGGGTCGGGAACTACTTAAAATTGGGTTTCGTTTGACATAGACTTTGCTGTATGTACATTAGTTCCTGTCTGATATCTGCTTTCGGGCTGCTCAATCCAAGTTAGCCAGCTTCGTTTCCTTTTATTTTCTTTTATCGTATACACCAGTTCGCGAATGATTTTTTTTTTGAGAGACCCCCTTTTATAAATTAGGAGGACGTCTACAGGCCATCCACAAAGCACATTTACTTTGACTGTCTTATTATTATTATTATTATTATTATTATTATTATTATTATTATTATTATTATTATTATTATTATTGTTGTTGTTGTTGTTGTTGTTGTTGTTGTTGTTGTTATACACGAAGTTCTGTGCCGGCTTCTTTGTTGGATGACCGCTACGGATAACCGCGAAGGTACTTATACTATGCTGTTGTTTTTCTTCTATTTCCCGCATTTGTTCAATTTTGTATCTGCACTCAAGCATACTGCGCGCATGCGTGCAGTATATGTGTTGCCTGAGGAGCTGCCTGAGTTGGCTCTGCTTAAGAAACATTTCCCTCTTACTTTTCTGTCGGTGCAAGTGGATGCGTTCTTGTCTAGCCGTGTTTCTGTGCGTGGGCACTTCTGCTACCACGGAATGTTCATGTGTGAGTCGCAGTGCCTCAGATTTAATCACGCCCGGTAAGTACATGCCGGCCGCGGAGCACCATTTGCGCGTACTGCCTTGTGTTGCTGCACTGGCCGGATCATGTAGCACCTGGATGAATGGAAAGCGCAAACGCGGCAACGTGTCCTTCCTCTGCTGTAGTCCAGTCTGCGCTTTGTTTCGGCACGTTTTGCAGCTTCTGGGAAACGGCCGTGCGAACTATTATCGCACGCATATTGCGACTGTGCCCTGCGTAGCACACGCGGCCGAGTGTGGCGGCTGCAGTGTCTTTTTGTCTCGCGCGCAGCTGGTCAAACTCTGCCGCAGCTCCGAAGGCTGTCGGTGCGTTCTCGGGTCGTTTTGTGCGATGCTTATCCGCTGAAAGTGCGACGCTGCAATGGCTGGCTCGCGATCCGCGGCGTCCTTACATAGGGTTTAACATCGAGCGCCCTAGGTGAGTGCCGACGACGGCCGCGGTACGCTTGGGTTCACGAGACATGCAGGAAACTGTGGGAGACGGTGTACACTGTACGTGTTTAACCCTCGTTTCCAGTCGTAACATTTATTAAAAATAAAATGAAAATAAACAGAGCCAACTATAAACCACCTGTATATAACTGCATTATATGAGAACTATAGGACCAGCATGTGCCCCTTGCATACCTCGAAACAGTTGTTAACGTTCACTGAATGTTGTACTTGCGAATAGTTGCGCGGCTTTATAGGAAAAATATACGGATGATACAAAGAAGCAGAGCGCTTGTTGCCTTTTTAGTGTTGTTAACAACTCATTTCGCAAAAACTTTTGGCGTCGGCGTGGGCCTCGTTGGTTGTGAGCGAGAAAAAGCATCAACTTGTTCGTGACAGGGAAATCGAGAGATGCAGATAAAATAAATAAAAAAGTATCCTTGTCTGAGTGAG